TCACCAACTGAGCCAGTCAGGCAACTGTTTTTTTCCCCTTTGTTCATTGTTTTACGTGTTTACGTTTCACTTCTTCTAGGAACACTTTATTATTATTGATTCCCCATTATAAACAATGACACCTCTTCTCTGTTTTGTGCTCCAAATAAATTTTAGTTGTTTAAGTAGCTTTCTTTCTTCTACTTACCTTCAAATCTTTAAAAATATTTAAACCCTGTTACTATACTTACTTGTTTCAAATGCTACTTTCTTCATATCTTAGTTGGCTAAAACCTGTCCTGTAGTATATCGTCTTCCAACTTCAGGTTGTGATCCATTTGTGGGGCTGTGAAATTCGTTTAGTCAGTCATGACCTGCGTGTCTTAAGAAATGAGATGTAAAAGAATGGAATGGAAGAAAAAGAACAGCGAATTTTTCATAGTAATAGAAAATATTTCTTGGATGTCCTTTCAGTACAGATGGTGATCTCTACTGAGTCTCAGTATAATATGAAATGTCCTTACTGTTGTGGATGACAGTAAAATTAAAAGATTAGAAAAGGGTGCTGTAGCATCCTAAAGGAGGATTGGTAGGAGTTAGAATCCTTGACTTTACCACATGCATGAAGTATTTGCTGCATCTCTAATTTAAATGTTCTGGTTATAAAATTCTTGGGTCACGTTTACTTTCACTTAGTATGCTCTAAACTTTGCTGTAAAGTATTCTCTTATTGTTTATTCATGTGGAGAAGTCTAAGGCCAAGCAAGAAGTAACTCAGTCTTCTTTCCTGGATGCGCAAAGGACTCTCTCTCTGTTTTGAAGGTTGTTAGTTTTTTCTAGGGTATCCGGTACTCTGTTGGTCCCAAGCTTCAAGTCTTCTATTTCTGAACATTACCTGAATTAATGACTTTGAGGGTTTTTTTTTAAATTTTTTAATCTCCTCTTTACAAATATCTATCATGTATATGTTGTCTGTTCTTCCCTTTTGATCCTTGTTAATTCTTATTAGTTTCTAATTATGCTTGCTTTCTCAATACTGTCCTTCATCTCATCCATTTTTACCCCAGTGGTTAATGTACTTTTTGCTGCATTCATACAACTATCCATTTTATGATGCTTTCATATTCTCCTCCACTTTTAGCCTCAGTCAACTCCTGTTTCATCATTTTGTGTTGCTGTGCCTATTTCCAAACTCTCAAATTTCTCTTGTCCATAGATTGCTTGTTCTACATTTTCTTTGAATGTATTGCATTATATTTCTTATATAGTTTTCATCTGGTGAGTATTTACCATATGCTTATCTTGTTCTTTTCCTCCCTTTTTTGTGTGCTTTACAGATCACGTGCTACTATTATATTGTTGTACTAATATTATATTGTTGTTGTTGTTGTTGTTGTTGTTACTCCTACTACTCCCTTTTGAGTTTTTCGTGGACCATATGTTTAGGGTAGTGGTGGCTAGGACATTATTTCAGGCCAAAGGGAATCTACTTAACTTAGAAGCTCCTCATGACAGAGAAAGAGAATGTGTGTGTGTGTGTGTGTGTGTGTGTGTGTGTGTGTGTGTGTGTGTGTGTAAGTAAGAGAGAGAAATCGAAAATGCATGTTCATTTAGCCTGTCCTCCTTCCTAGTCCGCAAAGATGGGCAGTTATTTGCATTTCAGTATCTCTCTTCTCCGAGGGCTTCATCCATGTGTGTTCTTCAGGCAGAGATGGTGATTCTATATGGTTCCTCCTTGACATGCCTTAGATTTCACCAGGCAGTTGGACACCTGTGTTCTCCCACAAGTGCTGAGATCTCCCACAGCCATCTCCACTCTGTCTTACTCCAGCCCCACTGGATCTAGTTGCATTTGGCAGCCCATCCAGATATCTTGCCATTTGGGTTATCTGAGGACTCCCAATTTCATCAGAAATGAGCTTTTTTTTTTTTTTTTTTTTTTTTTTTTTGTATCTCACAGTACCCTTGCTGTTTAGGATGATTTCTGAGAGGACTGGGGGAGGGGAAGTCCATTTCCATTAATGAAAAAGCAGAGGTCGTCACTAACTCTCCAGTACTCTTTAACCTTGGTGACAGGGGATCCCTGGATGGCGCAGCGGTTTGGCGCCTGCCTTTGGCCCGGGGCGCGATCCTGGAGACCCAGGATTGAATCCCACGTCGGGCTCCCAGTGCATGGAGCCTGCTTCTCCCTCTGCCTGTGTCTCTGCCTCTCTCTCTCTCATTCTATGTGACTATCATAAATAAATAAAAATTAAAAAAAAAATTTAACCATGGTGACATGCTTGCCAGTGTCAACAGGAGTTCCACCTGTTGTAAAGATGAGAAGTGTGAGAGTTACTGGAACTGAACCAGGCCCATGCAGTGTAGTAAGAGTGAACTGACAGAGTCTGGAACCAGAATGCAACATATTGAACTGCTGTCTTCTGAATGCAATGTAAATAAAAGCTCCATTGCTGGCCTTCATTCATGCCTAGGCAGCTCTTACTGCTCTGTTGCTTTTAGCGAGATGTGATTCTGTGATGGTTGCTTTTTTGACAAGCTGGAGTCACATACTGAACTTCATTTCAGCCTCCATCAGATGGTCTGTAATGAACCAAACCCAAAAGGAGAAAAAAAGGGACAAGAAACCTAATACTCAATGGCCTTACCATCTGCTTGTCTTGATCTCAGACCTACGGCATTGTTTCCTTGAATCTTCCCAACAGTTTTGAGCTGGCATTATTATTATCCCTTTTGCCAAATGGAGAAACTGAGTCTGAAGAGCATAAGTACGTGCTCAGAGTGAACAGTGCATGTTAGCTCTGCAACTTTTGTGGTCTCTCGATGCTTTCTACCTCCCTGGTGACCATATGCACTGAATTTGAGGTGTCTCAGTTCTGTAAAGATAAAGTCACAACAGCCACCAAAAGACCTCTCCTGGCTGCTTTATTTTCCTCATTCAATCAGGGTGATGCTGCTCCTGTCCGGCGACCAGGGGGCCACCTCTCAGAGCGGCCTCTTAATCACACCCGCCACTTACGTGGTGTATCTTCCATCTGCAGTTTGTAGCCAGTAATTAGTTCCTATGAGGTAAGTCACTGTCTCAGTTCCCAGGTGAGGCACCTGGTACAGAGAGAGCTTGAGTGATTTTTCCAGAATCAGCAATGAGTCACAGGAAGAGAGAGTGGACATGGGCCTGCCCCTCCCAGGCTAGTATGAGACCCTTGCCTCAGCTGCCTTCATAACCCACTCAGGGAAAGTGGATGCTTTCCTTCTCACTTCTGCTGTTAGCTGGAGTGTATTCCCAAACACATCAACATGGGATGAAGTGAAGGGTCATTTCAAGGATTCTATACGTGGGCATTTCACACTTGGAGTGTTTAGTTTCAAGTTTTTCAGACCACGAAGCTGGGGCCCTTTCAGCAAAGCATTGTTAATGATGACATTTTTCTCTGTAAAAAAAAAATTACATTGAGCAGATTATAGGGAAAGGAATCAGGTTATTTGGGAGATACCTATCAAACAGCAGAAAATGAAAATGTATTTTTATTTTATTGGCTATTTTTAGTTTCAACAAGAAATAACTATTGTTCTTGGAGTACATAAATATATAACCATACAAAATATGGGTAACTTTAAATTTTGGGTAACTTTAAATTTACATAAAAAATTATCCCCCACCCCAAGTTATTATTTTTAAATACTTGCATTATCTCCGAAATAACCTTGATTTTTTTACCCAGTGAGTTCCAAACAATCCTGGGGGCAGTCCTTATTTTTCTCCTTAAGTGACATTTTAATATATATATAGTATTTCAAATGTAATGTTATTTTTGGAGTAGCAAGTATGCAAGCAACAAGAGAAAAGGAAGAAAAGTACACTTAATCTGAAGGTAGGTGTCCCAACAATTTTCTTTTTTGTATGTGAAGCCCATTATCTGCCATGATAACTTTGTTGACAGCATCCACAAATATATTTGGAGCCAGGTTTTATAAAATAGATCCAGAATCGTATGACTAAGCGACCCAGCTCATGACATATGTCAACCCCAGATAGATGGTACATTTTCTGTTTTAAAGACTCAAACAAAACTTTTCACATTCTTCTTTGGGGGAAGAAAAAAATTACATTTGAAGTCCTTTTTCACCCAAACACATTTTGAGATAAGAGCTCACAAGTCTTGACATTATTTCATTTTGTTATGCGCATCTGTCAAGGAACTGAGATAGGATACAGCTACTAAAAACTGATGATTGTGGAACAGAGAAACTTGACAGCATTTCATTCCTTTTATGTTCTGATTATACATTTATCAGAAAACCTGTATCTCTTCTAGTTCAGCTAGAAATTGGTAGAATTCAAGAACTCAAAGGCTTGGCAAAGAACTGTCCTATTATTTGGTATCATCTTACATTTTCGAGAAGTTGCTTGGTTGAGTCATTGTTAAAGCTTTTGCTTCTCTTTTCATTATTGTGGCCCACTATCCTCAGATCACATTTCTATAGGCCCCTATAACTGCTTTGCTGCGCAAATTAAACGCTGGGATATTTCATACATATACGCCCGCATTTCAATGCTTGTCAATCAGAGTTTATAAAATATAGGGATTACAACCCGATATTAACATCCAAATCTATTGTGCTCATTTTATGTGTGAAAATGAGAAACCCTCGTATAGACGCTAGGTTCCCCAGGCTCTTTGTCACCCTGTTTTTAATTTATCTTCAGGTTTTGAGTCAGTAAAATGATTTTGCTTTATCAATTTAATGCAGTGATAAAAACCTATCTGGGAATCAGAATGATCAGAACCAAAGTGGATCTACAGGTTGTTGGGCACGAAGCCCGGCCCTGCCAAGGGTTTTAATAGGGCTACTTTCTTCAGAGAAGGGAATATATCCTGTTTGTTTTTAATTGTACTTTCACCAGTGATGAGGTTCCCGTCACATGAAGTGGAGGTTGAAATGCATCACCTTGGGTTGGAGGACTTGAAAACTTTTTAACATGTTCTTTTTATACCTTTTTTTCCCCTTCCTTTTTACAGGTGTACTTCAAAAGGAATTATCCAGATATTACTCAGAATGGCCACGTGGTTATGAATGCTTCCAATGGACAGCCCTCAGCATTTACTATTTTCGAGACAGCACTGTGATTCTACTACAACATTCAGTCTATTCCAAAGGCATTTTTAAAATCATTTTTGCACTGTGTAAACTACATCGTACTTTTTTTACACTAGCAGATGATATTTTACACATTCAAGATGTTTATTTGGATTTTTTCCTCCAACTTCACTCAATTATTTCAAGCTCTAGCAGAATGATGTGCTATTTTTTTATTTATATGTAATAGTTTCTTGTTATTTTTTTCCTTATCCAATCACAGGTGCAGGACACCAGTAAAAGCTGTTCATCAGGTTTGGTGCCTTAAAGAGACTTCAGAGCCAAAACCCATTTTGTAAGGTATAAGATAAAGTTGTCACAGACTTTTTTTTTTTTTTTACACACCACCCTCCCAAATTGCATATTACTTTCCAGTGATATCAGGGATCCTGTTGACTTGAAGACTGTGTGAAATTTGCCATTTTTTCTGGCCACTTTCTTTAACGTAACAACTAGGATCCATTATTTCTCCCCAAAGGCCTCTGGTTGAGATAGTACAGATGAAGCTAATAGGAAAAACCACAAAGACACTTTAAGTGACATTTTCATGACCAAAAAAGCCATATTCTTAAAATAGGGAAGGTTGGTATTTAATTGCATGGTCTGAAGGACAAGGAAGAGAAAATAATACTTTCTCAAAACTGGAGCCCATGCTGGTGATTGGATAATGAAGGCCACATGTGTGACCTTTCTGATTTGTGTGACCCTGCCCTGGAGACCATTGCAGTCTGAAGCTCAGCATGGTGACATTTTGAGAAAAGACCCAACTGCTAGCTGTCATTCTGGACTATCAGGCAGTAGTCTTATTTGGATTTCTGGTTTACTGACAACTGAATATAAGCCATTTGGTTTAGCCTTTAACGAAATCCCTTTTACCCTGCCTGTATAGGGCCTCCTGACTTGGTGAGAAAAACCAAACATTGTCGCCAACAGCTGTAATTGTGCAGTGTGTTCTCAGGGCGCATCCAGGAGGCCCCCTGTTATGAGCCTGCCCAGGTTCTTTTACTTCTGACCACTAATAGCACTTTGGTCTTTCCGATTAGTCAGTCAGCAAACCACTGTCCTTCCAAGGCCTGCTGCACTTTATTTGAACCATGGGTCTTTGACTTTCCTAATGGTGTCTATGGTATAGTTCAAATTGCTGAAGGTGTTATGTGGACTCTCATGACCTCCAGAATAAAGGTGTAACCACCCTCAAGTTGCATATATTAAGCTGTATGCCCTCATACAGCAGATTTTTGGACTCCTCAGAGAGAAACAGATGTTTTATAGCATCAAGCCTTAAAAAGCACACACAGCAACTACACAAGATATATTGAGTGCAGTAGCTGTTTGATTCCTCATACTTAGAAATAATATGGTGAATGTTTAGTTCAGTAAGCCTGTACCTTGTTCAGTAGTCATGGATAGTATTTCAGGAAACTGAAATGACAATGATAATGAGGTTTGTTAAAACATTAGAAATACTGGAAGCATGTACGTGTTTATTTGGTTTATAGAGGTTAAAGGCAGTTTAAAAAAATGCATGTTTCTGTATTATTTGTTTTAATGTCATAGCATTTTTTTAATGAAACAATTTATTTGAATAAATGACCGTTTTCATCTCCATTCAGAGACTTGTGTTTTGTTCTTAGAGGGATTACTGACTCATTTCCTTGCTATTAAACACCAGCAAGTTTTCCAGAGATCAAAAAAATATCTTCATTATCAACTGGTTCTCTTGGCTAACTAGATGTACCAAATATTCTAAGTAGCAAGGTGGGTTTCAGACAGGTTGAAACAGCTGTTATTGAAGCCAGCCTGACTGTACCCCTTCCAGGAATGGAGAGAGCATTAGCTTATGCCCAAGGCTTGAACAAGTATTAAGTTGTTGAGGTTTATATTTTTTGAAAGGTGACTTTGTCCTGAATTAACAAGAAACATTCATTAAACAAACATTAAAACATTAAACAACAAACAAAATCAATAAACATTAAAACACTGTAGAACATTGATTCTCAAAGTGTGGTCCCTGGACCAGCAGCATTAGCCTCACCTGGGAACTTGTTAGAAATGCAAATTCTTATGTCTCATCCCAGATGTCTGAATCAGAAAATGTGGTGGTGTGGACCAGTAATCTGTGTCTTAACAAGCCCTTAGGGTGGTTCTGATGCAGGCTAATAGCTGAGAAGCAATACCATAGAACATAAAGAACTCCTAAAGCTCATTAAGAAAAACACAGAAAGGCCAATTAGAGAAATGGACAAGAGACTTTGAATAGGCACTCGACAAAAGAATGTCCAACTGACCAATAACCAAAAAAGTGCTCACTCTATTAGTTACCAGGGAAATGCAAATTAAAGCCACAGTGAGATAGCACTAAACACCCCCTGGCATGGCTAAAATTAAAAAGAACACCCAATGAAAGAGGTTACACCACATCAACGACACAAGTGAATTTCAAAAACTTAAACCTGCCCCCAAATGATATTTATGATTCCATTTATGCAAAGTTCCAACACAGTTTAAACTAGTGTTAAGAGTCATGACAGTTGCCTCGCTTTGGGAAGGTGGAAGGTTTTGGTAATTGGGGGAAATTAAAGGGAGTTTCTAGGATATTTAAGGTGTTTTTTTTCCCCCCACCTGGGTGATGTTGAGATCAGTATTGTGTTATTTTCTGCACTTTTATGTTGCATGTGCATTTTTGCAATTAAAAACTCCTCAGCTTCGTTTTTCTTTTAAAATCTCTGAAATCCAGTGACTAACTTGCATCTGGGAAGTTACTTGTGCTGAATTCTTAAAATAACTCGTTGAAGCCTTGTCCTGTGGCCCATAGCCCAATGTCCTCATTTGAAGCTCTTGGTACATGAGACATCAAGGTCTGCATTTTCTGGGCTAATTAATAAGATAAATTCCACTTCCTCTCTAATTTTAGGAGAAATAAAAGTAAGATTTTTCTGGGTTCTTTTTTAATAACCACTTTATCCAGGTATATTGACATACAAAAAAAGGTATATATTTAATGTGTACAACTTGATGAGTTTGGAGATAAGTTTATTTTCCTAAAGTCATCCCCACAATCTACTTCCTAAACATATCCATCACCTCCAAAACTTCCCTCCTAATACCATAAGTGGTTGCTGCCTTATGAAGAAACAATTAAATGCAGTGAATTAGACTTATTAAGTATTGTGATACTTTGGTTGGTCAGTGGTTAACTTACCAGCTGGTTACCTTGTCCCTGTGTGAGCTGATGAAAATCTGTTTTCCTCACAGAAGGTTTGGCCTGAGTATTTGTTTCCTATCAAATTCTGAAAAGTTTAATAATGTTCACAATCTTAGGCCTTGAAGTGTGTTAAATTTAGTACCTGAATGTGTAAGTCAACTTTCCACAATTCTGATTTGGAGTGTTTTCGAGATAGATTTTTACCCTAAAAAATTTGGGACATTCTGGCCACCACATCTCAAGAAGAAAACATTTGTAATTCCTTTCATGTGGTTCAGGGAATGCTTGACTTCTATTTTGACTAAAAGGAAAGAGATCTTTCACTTGGAATGAAGAAAACTAAGAAAGTTCAAATTAAAACAAATTCTAGCAGCCACAGTAATGGTTAACCCAGTTTCGTGACCAACTGAGTTCTCCAAAGATCTTTTATTGGAAATTGTGTCAATAAAAGGAAATTATAGTCTTCATCAGAAAGGTATAGATTAGATCATTCCACAAGTAAAGAAGGAAAAATACTTTTGTCAAGAATTGCAATAAGTTCACAGGTTTGCTTCCACAAAATATAACAGGCATTTTAATGGGCATGGTGATCCTTATCTAATTATTTTTTCAGGGATCCCTGGGTGGCTCAGCGGTTTAGTGCCTGCCTTTGGCCCAGGGCGCGATCCTGGAGTCCCGGGATCGAGTCCGCGTCAGGCTCCCGGTGCATGGAGCCTGCTACTCCCTCTGCCTATGTCTCTGCCTCTCTCTCTCTCTCTGTGCCTTTCATGAATAAATAAAATCTTTGAAAAAATAGTAATTTTTAAAAAACATTCATTCATTCATTCATTCATTCATTCATTCATTCATGATAGAGGCAGAGACATAGGCAGAGGGAGAAGCAGGCTCCATGCTTGAAGCCCAATGTGCGACTCGAGCTCGTGACTCCAGTCACACCCTGAGCTGAAGGCAGACGCTCAACCGCTGAGCCACCCAGGCATCCCTCAAAGTATTTTTTTAAAGATGTATTTTTTTAACGTGTGGGCATGTAGGAGGGTGGGGAGAGGGAAAGAGAGAATAATCTCAAGCCGGCTCCCTGATGAATGCAGTGCCCCATTGCAGGGCTCCATCCCACAATCCTGGGGTCACTTGAGCCAAAATGAAGAGTTGGATATAACTGAGCCTCCCAGGCGTCCATCAAATTGAGTATTTAAAGGATAAGCATATTCACACACAAAGTCCGCACTTATACATTTTTTATTTGGGGATTTAGGGATAGATGTTATAAGCATATGTATAACCAATAATTTTTTAAAAAGATTTTACTTATTGATGAGAGACACAAAGGTTGGCAGAGGGAGAAGCAGGCTCCTTACAGGGAGCCCAATGTGGGACTTGATCCCAGAACTCCAGGATCACCACCTGACCTTGCGATCAGTGCTTGTGGAATCAGAGAGAAGAAGCAGGATAGGGCAGAGGGAACAATGAAGTCAGAATGCTGGCTGAATGACCAGCTGACCCCTCGGGGTTCTGGAGGTCACATGGCCCTTCAGGCTTGTCCTACTATATGCACTAATGGCCAGGCCTTTATCTCTCTGCTTTGATTGGTCACTGCGTGTGGGCTGCCCCCAGAAGGGCTGGGAGGAAGGCTAGAGGGTGACCAAATTTCATTTTTGTCAAGGATGGTCCTAGTTTATTGCCCTTGCTTATTTGCTTTGGTTGGGATGATTGTTGGGCGAAGAGCACCCAAAGAAACAGTATGGAATAATTGATGTTAGACAAAAAGAGGGTCCCCTCTTCTACCAAGAGAAGAGAGTAAGATGGGTGTGGATGAAGATGGGTTTGTAGACTATGGAAAGGTATATTTGAAGAGCTCCTCATCTGCTGGCCTACACCAAACTGTTCTTACTTCACATACAGTTAAAAGGAAACAAGCAAAGCTCTGGAGACAGTCTTCTAGGTTCAAATACCAGTTCCTCTACGCATTGGCTGTCTGGATTTGGACAGAAGATCTACTTACTACCTGCTAATTGTGGGATCTTATGGTCAGGAAGCACACTATGCTTCAATTCCTTTGTTAAGATTGAGATTGGGATGGTACTTTGCTCAGAGGGCTCTTGCAAAGATTAAATGTGACTGTGACACAGTGTATGGTCTATGGTTGTTTAAGAAGTTCAAGAAAACTAGAAACACTTCAGTCATTTGACATTGCCATCGTGTTCAAACTCTGGATTGGTGGGTTCTTGTCCAACAGGCTAGAGACCACTTTGAGTGTCGACCTTGCATGGTGAGGATCATGTGGCCTGAACTATACTCTAGCTGTGAGCTGTAGAATCTGTGTTAGTTTGCAGCAGACTGAAAATTTAAATAAAGCAATTCCTAATCCCAGATAGTTGAGAGGCACTCTTTAGAACACTGCTGAATATGTGCTTAGCTCTCAATAAATATTAGCCTCTATTAATTGTCACTATATCAGGCAAAAATTATTTCGTGATTTTTTTTATTAAAGATTTTATTTATTCATTAGAGTCAAAGAAGCAGAGACACAGCAGGGAGAAGCAGGCTCCATGCAGGGAGCCCGATGCGGGACTTGACCCCGGGACTCCAGGATCACACCCTGAGCCAAAGGCAGGCGCCAAACCGCTGAGCCACCTAGGCATCCCATTCTGTGATATTTCTGCTTAATATTTGACCTCACAGGCTTTCAAAAGTCTCTACTGTGCATTTGCAGTATTTAATATTAAGAAATTAAAACTAATTAAATTCCTGCTCAAAGTTTTTTCCCTTAGACAAAAAAGATATTTTTAAAAACAATACTGTGCATATATTTATCCCTGCTATATTATTGAATCTACAGCATGGTCTTGGAGAGGGTACCTGGGAACACATCAGGCCACTTTAAAAATCCTTTCAAGAACTTAAGTTTTTAATGTGTAAACTGTTGATTTCCCTTCAAAAACAGAAAGAATATGGGTTAACTGAGCTTTTGCTTTTTAAATCTAATGTTCTAAGGAAAATAACCTCATTTTTCCCCAAAAACTAAAATAGCAGTCTGTTTGAAAAACAGAGAAGAAGCATATGTTTATTTGATTTTAGAGCTTAAAAATAACATTAATAGTTATTTGCCTCAGCCCTATAAGACCTCCATGTATACTCCAGGCCCATCTAATTTGCCTTGGGGGTCAACACTGGGATTGTAAGATTCTTCAAGAAGAACCAAGATCAAGATTTAGATATACTAAGAATGTTTTACGGAAAGCTTACATTGGATAATTTTTACTAAATTCAGTCTTTCAGCAACTATGCTCATAAAACTAGCCAACTCACAATTATCCATCCCAATAGATGGAAGCTTTGGGTATTCCAAAACAGTGTTTGATCCAAAAGTTAATCATATTTAATTTTGGAGGGCATTAAG